CAGTTGCCACAGGGTTTATTTTGCTTTTCTCACCCATCACCTTTACTCACTCCTGCTGCACTGAGGATGCTTTTGTCCAATGGGCTTCTCTCTCACAGGCACACATCTGCTTCTGTTATAACTTCTAAACTCTCAGTAATTCCATACAACCCCACCCCTGCACTATAAACCCTTCACCATCTTATCAGTGCAGTTTCTCACTTACTTAAGGCATATTCTTACTTACAGCTATAGAAACACAAGTTGATGATTTTTCTGCTTAATATCTGTGGATTGTATTTTTGCATCAATCTAAGCTTCTTCCAAGGCTGCAGATCAAACCCTTCAGTGTCTGTGGGAATTTCTGTTTTTCTGATTCCCACACTGTCCCTCCATCCCTTATCCCCAGTCCCTCTCCAGCTCTCCTGGAGCCCCTTCAGGCCCTGGAAGGGCTCTGAGCTCTCCAGGTGAGCATCCCCAGCTCTCCCAGCCTGCCCCAGAGCAGAGGGGCTCCATCTCCCTCATCACCTTTGTGATGATGATGAGGATTTTCTCCAAGAGCTCCCTGTCCTGCCCCAGAGCTGGACTCCTGCTCCAGGTGGGCTCTCTCCAAAGTGGGCCTTGCTCAGACAGCAAACATCTGTGGTTTTAGCACAGTTTAAAACAGTGGATGAAAAAATGCTCCAAAATGACCCCTTGGTAGAATGCTTTGTCCATCCAGTCACTGACTGTGCTGTGACTTGATGTAGTTTCTCTGTCCTCACACTGAAGGCCAGGCAGTTAATTATGAAATATGACCCTCTGTGAGGGGGGGATTTTGTTTAGCTCCCTGTGTAATGTCAGGAACCACGTTGCGTACAACTAATTACAAGCCGTAATTCTCCTCTTAATTATTATTTTGTCCTTTCTATTTTACTGATTTTTACCCATTTCAGCATTGCATGGGCCAAGGTCACCTTGGGCACAGGCAAAGCTGAGCCTGTTGCAGGGCTGGCTTTAGCAAAGTTAATTCCAGCTCTGGAGGGCCTGGAAACCACTTTGCTGGATTAAACAAACCTGCCTATTTCAGTCTGGCCCTGTCAGGATATAATTTCAAACTTGGAAACCAGAGAAGCAAAATGACTCCTTTTGGTTGTGTTTCTTGTACTGATCTCTATCCTCAAACCGTGGATTTAGACACTGGATACAGCTGAAAATGCATTTCTGTTTCCAAATGAATTAATGCTGCTGGTTTGAGTTCATTTGCACTCTTTTCCTTATCTGTAGATACTTCCCTTTATTTCTATTATATAATTGCTACAATTTAAAGTTGTGTGTGCTGATCTAACTCATGCATCTCAATCCAATAAAATCCTTTTTTTTAATAGAGAGGGAGCTCCAAAGACAGATGTTTTAGGACTCCCCATTCCATCAATTTTTTGCTCTTCCAATGTAATAAGAAATGACTTGGAGTCTTTTCTCCCAATCCCAGTAGGGAAAAGCTCACAGCCCTGCAGTGGGATCACAGCCCAAAGGAAAGGGGGATCCAGCAATAATTAAGATTTTTCCCAGTGACAAATCTTTTGCATCCAAATTTCAGAATGAGCATCCCACCAAGGTGAACAAATCTTCTCCCAATGTATCCTCTCCACAAGTGTTTCAGGAATATAAATGGGTTATTTTGTGCCTACATATCATTATTATTAGACAGTATTCCCAAGACCACCCCCACATTCCCAGGGGAAGCCCTTAATCCATAAACTATCCTTCCTTTTTATTTTCTCAATGAGGATCAATGTGATTTTAAAAGAGGGAAAAAAAAAAAAGAAGTACTTATGAAACATGTACTAGTTAAAGTAGTTTTACTGCAGAACTGCTCTGACTCACAAATAAGCTGCTGTCCCCCTTCATCTTCTAGTTAATCAAGTGCTGATTTATTGGTTTTTTAATCGGCTTTAGCAGTGAGAATTCTTGCTTGACCTTGACTTAATGTTTCACTAATTTCCTTCAGAATATTGAGTATTCCTAACATCAATTCAGACCAAAACCCCTCAGCTCCAAGTAAGGAAGAAGCAAATTAAGGGGGGGGAATGCTTTTCCTGGGTTTTTTGATAGAATTTGATGCAGAGTTTGGATGCAAATCCTCTAAATAAGAGGGGAAGGTTGTGGAGATTCCTGCTTCAGCCATTCTGAATTTTGGCCTCTTAGGATATCAGGGAAAAGCTTGTGTGCACCGATGAAATCTTCTCTTATGCCACAAAAAAAATATTACCAAAAAGGACAACAGCAAACTGCAGTTTTAGGAGAGAAGTAGAAAAATTGAGTCTGTGAGAAAAGAAAGTAGAACCCCCAAAAAATTCTTTGTTATGGTTTAAATACTGCCACTCTCATTAGGTCCACTTGGCTTCCACAGTCAATAATTTTAAAGGGATCAATGTGGGAATAAGTTGTGGCACCAGCATAGATATTATTTTTTTGGTTCTTAAGGAAGACTTAGAACAAGTGGCTCTCAAACATTCTGAGCAGGAGGCTCTGTACCCCCACAAGGTGCTTTTCTGATTATTCTCTGTGGAAAATATAAAGCTGTGCTCTAATATCTGTATTTATAGTCATTTCCATTTCACCCTGCGACTCAGTTTTGAAAATAGCGATTGTAAGGGGAGGGTATCACAGTGTTTCATGGGATTTAACATGAACTTCCAGGGGGTTGTGGCAAAAAATGTGCAAAAACTTTAGGAAAGACTCCACAGCCCCTGCAAGCAAGCCCCCCGAAGAAACCCCTAACAAACAAAAAATCTGAATTAATGTCACAGGAGTATGAATTAAAAAAAGAGGAGGAAAAACCAAAACACAAACCTCAAATGTCCTTTCTGAAAGAGACTCAAATGTCCTTTCTGAAAGATTTTTCTTTACCCTTAGAAATTTGTAATTTCAAGTGTTTCTGTTTGTAGTCACCCTAACACCTGCACAGCGGGTAATTTTTGCTGTATTTGTGCTTATGAATTCCAGTCATACTAAGAAAAAATATAGTCTCATCTCCTCGCAGATGGAAAAGAAGGAAATGAGCATTTGTTTGAAAGAAAAATCGATGGTGAAGGAAGATTATGAACCTGGGTCTTGTGCAAAGCAATGCAGCATCCATAACTGGGGCCATTATTGTGCTCCATGAGAAGAAGTTTCAGCTTTAGGAATTCTCTGAGAGATGATTTTGTCTTGTAACAGCCTGTTCTATTCTGCAGCTGCTTTTTTAACTTTGCAACTTTACCAACATCCATTGACTGTCAAATAAGTACCACTGTGAACTCATGAATAAACATAGTTGTCATTTCCATATTAAGAGGGCCTTCAGCTGAAAAGAATCCATTTGTGCCACTGCAATATCTTAATTATTTACTGTGTTATATTCTAATTAATTGTGGTTTGCTCTCTCAAAACTCCATATTCTGTGGATCTCATGGGTTTTGGAAGCAATGCACTAATATTGAAGTCATAATCAACACTGCTTCTAAATATTCATGCCAATAAATGACTCCCATGTGTTTGCTGAGTGCCAAGGATAGTCTGAAGCATTTATTTAGCATTCTGGTGGGATCTGGTTTCTGCAGAGTTCACAGAGATGCAGAATTTCAATGCTGTTGCTGAGAAAGCACGTTTGGATTCTCACGAGCAGGACACTTTGGATAAAGCAATGGTATCTCACTCCCAGCCTGGGCTCAATAAAGCCTGAGAGCACTGGGGAGTTCTCAGCTATTTCTCATTTGAACAATTTTGTTTAGTCTTTGACAGCCTCCCAATAATTTTGCTTTTTAACAAACATCTCTAATTTTTCAAACAATTTGAAAATCACTGCATTCCAGGGACGGGGATGCTCTGTCTGTCACAGAGGCTCCACTGGGGCTCTGCTGCAGCAATCACAAATTCAGACACATTTCTCAATAAATCAATTAAACAGCAGAATCCTAAAATGGTTCTAGCTGCAATTGGCTAACACAAATCTCCAGAAAAGCATCTTGAGTGTATGGGTGAACAGCTGATTTATGGAGCTACTGTTGGAATTTCAAACAAGGAAATGCTGTCGTGCAATCCAGTGAGTTTGTTTAATTAAATGTAAGTTAAATGTAAACAGTTTTAAAATATATTTGAGCTGAGTCTTTTGGATCAAGAGTAGCCAGCATACTGCAAACTGTCCTTTCTCCTTGAAATGCAGTTTCCAGAGCCTGTGTAGGTGCATTGTCCCTTCCTGCAAGTCTTTAGGCTCCACTGCTCCGCATCCCCTCTCACAACTCACCCAAAAATTATTTGGTTTACCTTTGGGTGCTTGAGATGAAGAAGAACTGGGGTTTTAGAACCAGGGGAAAGGCAGTATGAAGATTGCACGCAGTCATGACGGTGCTTGAAAATGCAATCCAGATGTCCTGATCCACTCGGGAGTGCAACTGGGATTTCTGTGGGCTCTGTTGCTGGTGTTTTGTTTAGAAAGTTCTCTTAAATACTTGTATATGCATAAATACTTTGTCTGTTGTCACAGAGATACTTGGTAATACTATTGACCATATTTTATTGATATTTCACATTTTTTACACTTGACAATCTTTATGTGTCCCTTTCAACTCAGGATATTCTATGCCATTAATTCTGCAATACCACTTCTTCTTGCTTTTAAGATAAAACTTAATTCTGCCTTATGAAGAACTTGAAATACATCTTAAAAAATTGAAATACATCTTGGATATTGGGAAGGAATTGTTCCCTGTGAGGGTGGGCAGGCCCTGGCACAGGGTGCCCAGAGCAGCTGTGGTTGCCCCTGGATCCCTGGCAGTGCCCAAGGCCAGGTTGGACACTGGGGCTTGGAGCAGCCTGGGACAGGGGAACTAAACATTTAGTTTAGTTGCCCTGTAAACATGGGAACTAAATGATTCTTAAAACCCCTTCCTAGCCAAACCTTCCTTTGACTCCATGATGTGTCCGTTTCCCTGGCAGAGCCGGGTGCAGGATGATAGGCTCTGGGTTTGGACTCAGCCAACTCTGTTTTCCTTTTTCAGAACCACCCGGCACTGCTGCAGTTTGTAATTCAAGCTGAAAATAAACATCTGGTCATCGATCTGGAGAGGAATGAGTAAGTATCCTGCTGCATGGTCACTTTGTACTCTTGGAGGGTTGTAATTTTAAAATTAATGGTTTAAACCTGGGGCCAGTTTTGCTACTGGTCCCCTGTAAGAGTCCCCTAACAAGAAAGTTTTGTTCCAGTTTGGATTATGGGTATTTGTGCATTGCTGATAGAGCAAGAATCTCTATGGTTGTGTGCATTTATGTGGGGATGAAAATGGACATGTTGCCTCTCAGGGTTTTCCTGTGTATTTCTTTTGGATGTGTCCTCCTTTCCTGTGGTAAGGCTTTTTATTTATAGTAATCTGAAATATACTACAGTCTCTGGAATTTTTTGGGGAGGACTCATCCTTCCTAATGCTGTCTGCACCCATCATGTGCTCCATGCAGTGTCCATCAGGAGTGAAGAGTCAAGACTTGGGGATTAACCCCTGCTGGAATGTTAAATGGAGCTCTTTGGGTTTGCTGTCAGGGGGCTGATGATGGGATGGTTGTGCTGTTCCTGCAGCCCAGGACCAGTGCTGGGCTTGAGCCTGTGTTTGTGTGCACCTTTTTCCATGTGCTCTTGGCAGATCCTGCTCATGTCCATGAGATTTCAGAGGGGGATCAGGGACTGCTGTAGATGTGGTCCCATGGGGCAGAGTTGTTAAAAACCAAAATCATACAGGAATGAAATCACTGCTCTGGAAGTCCATGACAAATGGAAAAAGTCATCAAAGTCTTTGTCTACCCTGCAAGTGTTCTGTTTTCCTCTAAGAGAATCTCAAAGATATTTGGTGAGAATCCAGATCAGGACAACCGCGTGCTGTTTGTCAAAGGCAAACCAAAGATCACTCTCAACCCAGGGAAAACCTTTCATAACAGTTCCCAAGGATCTGTGAGTTGTGCAGGTTCCCCTGCTGGGGAATCAAAGCCACAAAAAGGTATTTTTTCAGTTTAATAGAGAGAGAGATGCAGTTGGATGTGTTAGGAGGAAGGAATGTGCCTGTGAAAGCAAATGTCCAGGGGAGGCCAGGGACATCCTGCCTCGGGCTGGGGATGGACAACATCAATGGAAAACCACGGGGCACCTCTTTAGTCCTCTGGAGTAAAACAGTGCAAGATGCTTTTTATTCCCAGTCATTTGGATGAACCCCAACATTACCCAGCTGTGATGAATTCCAGTTCACTTTATTACTTGACATCAAGCTCAAATCTTGAGCTTCCTTTATGTTATTTTTAATGCCCCTTAGCTGTTGGAAACCTGTCCTTGAAGGGTGTGTAGGTCCCCCATGCACAGGTTGCTGTGTTCCAGTAACGAGAGGAGAATTTAATTCCTTTAGTAAACAGGGATTTCACTTTATATTCTCTTAATCTTTGTCGAAGGGTGTGCCTTCCTGAAGGAATGGGAAGTATGCAGCAATTGAGGAAACTATTTACATTCCATGTCAGCGATTAAAAGAACATAAAAACATAAAAAACCATAAAACTGCTAATACAGGCTTTGCTGAACATACCAAACTCTCTTGTACCTGTAATAAAGTCAGATTTAGAAGATTGTAAGATGCAATCTCCACCTCTTTTAGAAGCAGGACAGGAAAATGCAATAAATTACCAATACAGGCGTCTCTGTGACTGCGTGGATTTGGAGATGTTGAAATCTGCTCCTGAAGAAATACATTTATCAATGATTATTTTTCAGTTGGGGTAAACTGGGATTGTTTTTTTAGTTTGGTGGGGTGTCCAGCTGGAGGTTTGCATTCTGGAAGAGCTGTGTGTGGTGTTGACAGCACAAGGTTCTTCATCCCAGCAGGAGCTTCGAGGCAGTGTTGTGGAATGGAACCATCAGCCTTGCCTGGCTTTGGCATTTGTAGCACACGAGGCAGTTCACAGACCCCAAACCACAGGAAAAAATTGGTCACAGTCTTGCAAAATCATTTTGCTCTTTTCTTCACAATTTCTGACTTCGATTTTCCTGGGAGATTATGGTCTGGGTGTTGCAAGTCCATGCAGAAGTTTTCTCAGCGTGTGCATGTGTAGGTCAGTTTCTGTTTCTGTAAATCACACCAGGCACTGCTCTGCAGGGCTGGGCTGTGCTTCCCAGGGAAAACAGTGCCAAGCTCTTTGTGCTTGTCTGTGGAAATTGTGGTTGCGTTTCTTCTGCCTGTAGTGCAGGTGTTGGCTTTGCTGTCACTGGCACAGGAGGTGATGGAGAAGGAGCACCCTGCTGCTTCCAGGGACTCTGCAGGGACATGGAGTGGGAAACAATGCCCAGGAGAGAAATGAGAGCCTGCATTTCTGCAGAGCAAATATCTGATGGCAGCAGGCCAGGCTGGACCTGTGAGTTCCTGACTCTAGAGGTGGGAAAAACTCATCAAAAGCCTGGAGAAGGGAGCAGCATTCCCATCCCTGTGTCCTGGGAATTTCCAAGGATACAGATGAGCCCCTGCTCCCTCTTTCTGATATTGGTGTGGAACATGGAGCTCAAATGCAAGCATTGGGCCATTACTCACCTGCTGCAGATAGGAGTGGAGAGAGAAACACAAACACCTTGTGTGGAGTAAAAAGTGGCAGCACACGAAGCTCTGAGACATGTGCTGTTATCTTTCTGTGGTTTCATGTAAAGCATTGGAGAATGGTGGGGGTGGAGGTGCATGGGACTCCTAATTTACATAATTTCTTCATTGGGTCATGCAAAAAAAACCTGGATGTGATTTTCCATGATTAGGAGGAACAGCTGCTTTGAGTAGTCTTGACATTAAACTCCATTTATTGAAAACCTTAGAGATTTTCCAAACCTTGAGTTATGTTTCAAAACACGATTCAGATACATTAGACAACCCCAAGTGGGGAGCAACGTGTGAAACCATCTGTTATCTGTGGAAACACTGAATGTCATTTTGGTGGTTTCTGATATTTAGACCCATCAAAATGTGTTCATATGTACTGGGCAAGATGTTCTGAGTGACTTCTGGAAGAGTTACTGGTACCTGACTTGGCAGCCTAGGTTTGAAATCTCGATGGCTTGCAGCTGTTGAGATTACTTCTGTGGATATTCATTAAATACTTTGGTGATTAATTTCCAGGCGCTGCCCATTTGTAATTGCAACCCCAAAATTATTTGTGCTGGACTCAATTTGTCACAGGCAGAAAACCTGTGAGCGAGCTCACATTGCAAGTACATTCCTTACCATGATTTAGCTGCAAAAGATGATTGCACTCTTGAGAACCTTCAGCTCTGTAGTACCTTAAATGTTTTAGAAACACTTGTCATATGGAGAGATTTCCAGAATCAGCAAAGCATCCATCAGCTGCAAAATAAACCACTTTTTGGAGCAGCTGGCTGGGCTGGGGTGCATTACATGTGTAATACTGATGCTCTGCTGGTGTGCAAGGGACAGTAATGTATGCACTCAGAAATCCCTTGGAAGTTGATTGCAGCATGTGGGTCTGAGAGGGAAGCAGTTCACGGCTGTGTCAGTGAAACAGAGCCCCTGTAAGATTAAATCTGAGCTGGAGAGTGGAACAGTCTGTGGCTACTGGCTGTTTGTCTGTGACTGGAAACGTTTTGCTCTCTGTCAGGGCTAGGTCTGTACACAGCAAAGCTCTTCAGTGTTCTTTTAACTTCAAACATGTGAGTGACCCAGGTGAAGTCAGCAGACTTACTGATTTTCAAAGTTAATTTCATGCTTACATGAGCTGCTGACAAAGGTCGTAATTATGAATGTCAGAGCAATGTAACTGTGAACAGATGCTGGGGAACTCTCCCAGTGCTGACTCCTGTGTGTACCTGAGGCTGGGATGTCACAGAAGGATGAAAAGCTGAGATAAGCTGAGGGCATATGAGGGTGAGTATGGAGGGAGGATGGCTTTCTTCTTGGGGACCTCAAGAACATCCCAGGTATGTCCTGGACAGTTCTAGGATTTCATTGTCCAGCTTTGCAGTGAGGGTGACATCAGTGTGGTTGTAGCTGGTGGGCCACTGGCAGTGTCCATTGGAACATGGAAAGAAAAAGCTGGAATATTTTAGAGGAGCTGAGTTCTCTATTCATTTCCCCATCATTTTATGCTCCTTTTTGTCAGGTTTATAGCCCAGCCTTAACAAAGCAATATAAAAAAGGCAATATATGAGGTTACATTGCTGCCTTTTATTCCCTCTGTAAAAATTCTTCCATTTTATCAGGAGACAAAATCCAACTCAGACCACGGTATAAGCCTCCATCTTATCCTATAAATCCCTTAGGATCCCCGAGAACTCCAGAGGTTTGCGTCACCTCTGATTGTCCCCTTTGCACATTTTCCACTTCTTCATGGAGACACAGTAGCCAGGATGGGTTGGGATGTAATGGCTCAGTGTTGGAGGTCACTCTGAAAGCTTTCCCCCAGGACTGAGGAGGCTCCAGCAGAATTCCCTGGGCTGGAAATCAGGCAGCAGCCATCTTCACGCACAGTGCTGATATGACCAGCTCCAGTGAGGCTTCAGAGTTCAGCAATGTTTTGTTTCCTCTTTTTGGTTAAAAGAAAAGAAGTCGTTCTCTCCACTTTTCTGCCCGACCTCCCTGAATGGGAGCACTGATTGGTGTGCAAGTGACATTGGAGCTGGATTAATTTAGCAGGGAAACAACCCATTCCCAGTGCCAAAGGAAACAGCTGACAGGATTTGTTAATGAACTGACATGCTTCTATAGAATCAATGGCTTGAAATACAGAGAGAGAAACAAATCTAAACAAACAAACCCCAAACAGAGAGCTGAGACCTGTCAGAATATACTTGCTATTATAATTCTATGCTGTGTCTTAGCCAAAAAACTGTGACCTCAGCCTGGTTTATCTGCAAGTGCTGGAGCTGGCAGCTGTACTGCAGCATTTCAGCCTCAGCTGACAGTTGGGATTTCACTAGAATTGAAGTAAAAAGTTTCAGTTTACTGGAAGGAGCATTTTTGCCCTTCTGCAATGGTACCATGGCAGTCAGGTGGTCTAAACCACACCAAAATATGGCAATTCAGCCACCAGAGCTACAGTAAATTGGGA